GTATTGTTTTAAGAAATGCACTTTCTGTTTTGCAAATGTCCAAAAGGATTTGAGAAATCCATCAAAACWACTGAGAAAAACTGTAATTTTACAGTAAAAAGCTGAATTTCATCACGTCACATTTGAATGTTTAGTTCTTTCTGTAATAAGACTCTCCTTCCTCCAGATGTCACTCACATGTTAAACTTTGTGCTGTAAACTGAAGTCAAGCAGAAATTTCAAATAACTTTGCACGGTAATAAGTGAATATTCACAATATATTTATTTTAAAAAAAACAAAGACAGTTAAATGTTAAAATGATTGCTTTATAATGCTACACATTAGAAGACAAGTAGAAAAACAAAGAAGCAAATGCATTTATTCTAGAACATTTTTTATTTAATAAAACACAAGACAAAATGAAAGATGTATTGACTTTTTTCAATAGTCCTGAGTAAGAACTGTATCATATCTGCTGAATTTTTAAGACTACCACATTGACAATAAAACTGGTTTAGAAAAAAAGTAATTAGCCTTTCCATGGAGACAGGCTTAGGATTTTCTTCTATTATTAWTCACATTAACAGCTGTGTAGATAATTTCTTCAGGTTCACCTGAGGGAAAATATGTTCAAACTTATTCAGAGCAAAATATAATGTATTTTCAGTGGTGGGCACAGTTCCCCTAAAGCACTAAAGCACTAATAGGGGAACTAATTTCCTGATTATTGCTCTAAGCCATAGACTTTGTTTTTTGTTTGCTGYCAGGCCATCTCTTTGCTTTCTTTAATAAATATTTTTTTATTATTTGGAGTCCTGCCTGCCTGTGTAATGAATGGTGAAATGAGTTTCACTGATTTGCCAGACACCTGTATGGTTTTAAGAGTTTTATTATAAAGAGAGCARCTGGAACTGGTAGGACATGTCACCGGGATCTGGAGCTCTACACAGAAGAGAATCAGGTTAGATGCTATGTATTTCAGGGGAATTGTTTAAGGAGAGTATAGCAACTAACCTTCTTAATCTGCGTGGAC